TATGTATGTTTTTTACTATCGTTTTAGTAACATTATAGCTATTCATAGTGCCGGAAAAAAGTACTTATTTGTATCGACAGAATGCATGACCATAATTAGAAATTCGAGTCCGAATCTTGTTTACCATTGCTTTTTTGCACGTCTCTTCATAAAACCACCGTCACTGACATATCTGAAAAAAAAATTTCTTACTTATAATAGTTAAGTATACCAACTATTCATTCTATTTATATTCCAATTCCACAAGTGTATGTAGGTAGGTACTTATGTTATTCGACTGAATGTAATTCAAAAGGTTTATGTATCTGTATAATTAGAATTCGACACAAGTACACGTCGCCGTAGTGTACGATACGCCTCACGGATTCATTTCCCACGAATAACGTAACATGTTTTATACCCAATGTAGGTAAATCTATTTGGACAATGTCTGTGTGATTTATTCGTCCTTGCAAACCCGCGATATTGTATAAATGCTAATGTAAAAAATGTTCTATTGTCGTGCGATACAATGAGTGATTCTACGAAATTGTCGAATGCATCTCACAGTTATCACAGTGCACAGAAATGCACGTCACACAGTGAAATATCTTGGAAGAATCAAAACTGACATTTTCATCTCGCGTAAACATGGACCTGTAATTAATATGCGTCATTATACTCATTGTACTGAAAAGAACACGTTACTAATTACTATGAAAATTGTACTGGCACAGGCTTGTAATGTGAATAATGTTTTTTGCCACGAGACAACAGAAGTAATCAAATGCGTACAATATTATTTTTGGCGCCACTGGCGAGTGTAGAAACTTGTTATTATAGCAAAGTGTTGGCATTATGGCTATGGCACTCAATAAATAACTATATTACAACTATTTTGGCATCGTCATGATGAAAAACTTATAGTACCTAGCACACAAAACAAATTGTGCGCTAAACATAGGCAATTGTTATTTCAGTCTGATATACCTACTTACCTACATAGGTCTCGTCTCGCCTGTCTTATATTGGGGTAGGCAGACACAATGCGATATGGAAATTATGCTGACTAAACTCAACTAAACCTTAAAAATATGAATCATAGATTCGAGTAAAGATGTTTATGTTCTATTATTCATTGTTTTATTTTAGGATGCTGCCGCAGCGGTCTCGGAGAAAATCCATCATTTACCGAAGAAGCATGGTTTGGTGCCGATATTTATAAACCCAAACACTGGCCATTTTCTGCCGCACGCCACCATTACGCTTGGAGCTAGGGGGGACAGCTATTACGAATACTTACTTAAACAATGGCTGCAGACCGGAAAAACCATTAACTAGTAAGTATTGTATAAAAATAATTAGTTTGTATTACTTTACTTCGCTTGCGTAAACTGTTACTCATAACAATCTAGAGAAATCCATTTATTTTTGTGCCAAAATGCATTGTTATTTGTTCAGCTGTTTAGGTTTAAATGTTCTCATTAAATAAGAGAAAGAACAAAGTTTTGCATTTAAGTATACCTACAAATGTATGAAGTATAACTACAATGCCTATCTATATAATGCATACAATTATAAGCATAACTTGGTATAAGATTTACTGCGAAAATGTATAAAAACGTGATGACTAGTAATGTTATGTTGCTATGCGTTATTCCAACCGCAAAATATCTTCTACTGCGAAATAATGGTTATATTTGCTTTCAATCGATCTCAAGACACTATAGTAATAATATTTGGGCAACACTCAACTGTTCGCGAATAAAGTCGTAAAAAATTGAAGACATTTCCAATTTACATCTAGGTGCATAATTAACTAGTTAACGTGCTGCTTTTTAGCTCTATTTTCGGCGTAGAGTATCATTAATTGAACGAGGATTTTGTATCCATAACTGAGGAGTTAATAACAATTACATATTTTTAGGAAAAATATTTATACTCACCTACTCGATTACGCCTCGAGCCTATTGATATTGGTAAACATCCCTGTGAGATATAAAAGGCGGATTGAATGTCAAGAGCGCCCTAAGCAAGCATGTCAGTCGACACCACCCAATTATTGAAATAAAAATAGAAAATAAACAATTATTATTGTGATTATTTCCAAATCCGGACATAAGCCATTTGTACCTATTGTATCTTTACGCATCAAGAAATCCACCTAATTTGGCTTCGGGATTATCCGGATCTATAAGAAACCTTAAAAATGCTTACCTTTAATTGATTCTTTATGTTTTTACCCACGGGTTTTCAATTTTAAGTTATCTAAGATTGCAAAATGCTACCTACATGTCTATTCGTTTTAAGTAAAAAATACTTGAGTTATAAAATCGTTTGACGCTCGCGAATGCTATTTTTAGACCACTCTGAAACTGTCGGCAATGCGACAATTAGCTTAATTAGAGAATAAAAAGGTCAAATAAGTAGTTCAAGTGTGTTGTTGACGTGTTGAGTAAGAGGTATTCGAGAGGCCCTAGTGACCTAGGGCCTTATATCAGACGAAGTACATACTATCATCATGCTGTGTGTACCTTTAGTTTATAAGCAGAGGTGGAAATGTAACACTTTTACCACAGTTATGTTTAAGTCCTACATAAGGAGCTTTTTATCCTTCCTTTTATTTCTTTTTATTTTTCTTCTTTTTTATTTTTATTTCTTTATTTTTTTATTATTTCTATCCAGTAAGTGTTTTATCCTTCACAAGATAATACTCAAACAATGTATAGTTTGTTACTTGTATCAACATTGCTGGAACCATTTCAATCAAAGCAAATAAACAATCATATCTATTCTATTTATAATATTTATTTTACATGTTTCCCTGAGCGTCTGGCATACAGTTTAGGAGATTTGCGCTTTGCTAAATTAAAGACTATAAGCGTCGTATTTTTTTGGAATAATTTGTTATGACAATAACTTCGTTATTATATCTATCAGCCGACCGTGGCAAACATGAGATTATTTTTGACGTCGGCTGCAAAATTAATACTTTACCTTGATAGAAAAGTTGTAAAACGGATTCCCACGTCAGCCTATTTAATCCTCAAAGCGGTACATAGTTGCACTTTGAAGTGCACCTTCTACTTTTTGCCTGTTATGTGCATGGTCAGTATGGTAAACTGATAACTGGCACTAGGAAAATTCCAAAAACAAAATGTTCAAATTCGTAAAGCTAAGGAAATATTTGAACAAACACAGTTACAGGAACTAGACCTACAGTGTCGTGACTACTGCACTGACGACAAATCGACCAATGAGGCAGTTGTTTCATATATCGCTGTAACTATGCACTTCTGCTTATCCCTAATCACCTCATAATCTAAACTGATATGCGTGTAATCTAAAGTTTTAATTATTAATTAACCTATGTGTTCAGCAAAGCTATGAATAGCCATCTTATAGCTATTGCTTAGTTTTTAAGAATTAGAAATATAAACATTATTTTAACTAAGCACCTCCCTATTTTATAAAGCTTACAAATACAAGATGCGATTGTAATAATAAATGTGTTTCAATTAAAATGCTTAGCTCCATAAATACGAATGTTATAATATGGCTACAATCCATGTCATAATTTGTAAATAAATATAATTTCAAGCCAATTGTTTGTCCTATTTCAGTTTATTGGACGATTACTTGACCGCTATCGAAGGTGTCCGCAACTTCTTGGCAAAGCGATCGTCGCCAAACAAACATCTGTTCATTGGTGAACTATCGGCAGGGTCAGAGGTGAGGTATCTTCATTATTTGCTCAATACTTGAATATTATTAGATAATGTACAAAAAATAGTTATGATAACTGAGGATTTATCATTTAATTTACATGATTTGCGTCTTAGATGATTGGTAAATAAATGATGTAAGGTTTGAAATAGCTAAAAATGTTTATTACTTCTAGACAAGATAAAAAAATCTTATTGGGATATATGTCTATTCGGTAAAATAAACTTTTAAAAATAGGTCTGTCGATACTGTAATAATATAAAAAGCGAGTAGTTCCGATACCTCTATCTGAAAACAAATACTTTTTCACATATTTTATAGTGATATCATAAAATGTCATTTTTAATCTCTAATTAGATAGTGTTATCACACGCATCGCTTATCCGTCGTTATACAGCCACTACAATTACTGTGGTACCGGATACGTAAGTTTGTGGCATAGCGATATTGCAAAAAGGTGCTATATCTTTCATAAATAACATTTTTTTATCTAATAAAACATATTTTAGAAATGACTGAATGATCAACTAACTTAATGTTGAGCAAAAAAAGTATGACTAAATAGTTGTCTACTTTCATAATATTTATTTATTGTATTTGAAAGAAATACATGGCATGTTACATATCGCGTCTATCACGTTTAGATCTTAATTCTTTCACGTGAATACCAGAATAAAGTAAAATATGTCTTACAGTCAACTTCATAGATTCGATTTTAAAATACAACTGTTTATTATTATTCAAGTGAAGACCGTTTCACAATAGCTGCCAAAACGTAGGTAATTTACATGTATGTGAGATGCTCTAATACATGTATTAGATGTCTTTGACCTCTGCAGTGTGTGTGTGTAACTCAACATAGGATAAATAATACTTAACATGTCATATCATCTATAATACTTGACATGTACAGCAAAAAGTCTAGTGGCGGTCAATAACACTTGATGACTTATGTTCTAAAAAATCACAAATAAAATATATAAAACATCATATCTGTGCTACTGCCTTTTCTTCCATCTTGCCTGCCTGTATGAAATTTAAGTTTTTTTTCGGGAATTTCTGGATAAAAAGTAGTCAAATGTTATTCCCTCAAGATTTTCCATTGGGTAATGAAGATTTTTTCTGTAGTTCCGAAGCCAACTCAATATAAACATTTTCTTATAATTTTAGTACAGGTTGCTAATTCGTACTCTAAATCGCTCTGGCTTTGATGTATGTGATTTATTAACCTAAACAAAACCAAGTTCATTGTGAGGAAACTTGGTATAATTTGGAGCATAAATATTATTGTCATGTATGTGGCACGACAATAGACTTGCTTCCTACACGTGGAACATAATAAAATTGACTAAGTACCTACGTAATTGGTACCCATACACCCATGCTCCTCCTACAAAAGTTTAACAGACATTGCATACGTTGTCTTATTCTCTATAGTTATAACGTTTCTTTTAATTAAATGCTTGAGCTAAAATTAAACTTGCCCAGTTTATTTTTTAGTTTTTTTATGAACACGAAATGATAAATTACGGCACATAAAGTGGTCTTAATGCCATAACGAAGATTTCTCTCAGGATCGGATTAATCTCAACAGTACCCACTATTGTGGAAAATTCTGTTGCTTTAAACCTAGACTTACTTTCAGTCGCGGAGAACCTAACGGGTTACCGGGGTTCCGGCTCGACGTGCAGGAGAAGGAACGGGGTGGTTTTTAGTCAGTAAGAGTCTGACACTCCCTCCCGTCTCACCCAGGCGGGAGC